TTTCTGTCTGTCTGTAACGCTTTCGTTTCCACACGATATCTCGAGAACCCTTTGAGCTTTTGCAATGAAATTTAGCATAGCAACTCCCTATGAACTAAAGAAGACCCCTATTGATTTTGAGGTCAAAAGGTCAAAGGTCAAAGTCATAAATAAGCAAATTCTGTCTGTTAAAACACTTCGTTTCCACACGATATCTCTAGAACCATTTGAGCTATTGCAATGAAATTTTACATAACAACTCCCTGTGGCCTAATGAAGACCCCTATTGATTTTGAGGTCAAAAGGTCAAAGGTCAAGGTCGTAAATTTATACATTCTGTCTGTGTGTAACACTATCATTTCCGGGCGATACTTCAAGAAGATTTTGAGCTTATGCAATGTAATTTTATACCAAAACTCCCTAGGACGTCTCTCGCCCCTCTCAAAGTGCCCCGCCCCGTTTGTTTTATTAGTATTTATAGTATTACATGTCGCTATTTTTAGCGCAGGGGCATGAGGAGAGTTATGTGCGTATAAAACATGTTCTCGGCGGACTTTATGTTCTTATTACATCTATTAGAACTGTTTAATAAAGGCTAAATAAATCAAACACCATGGATTGTGTAAAATTTTGATAATACCGAACATGAAAACATGAATATATACATGTATGTGACTTCAGTTCTGCATATACTTCACACCGTGTAAAGCGATTGCGTGGTCTAGTGGTTATGTCTCTCGCTTCAACTGTGAGAGGACACGGGATCGAATTTCGGTCGATCCTTCCTTTTTTTTTTTTTTTTTAAACTTTTTTTTTTTTTACTAAATGATAGTATTGAGCATGTGAAATGAAAAATTTATGAGGTTATAAAATCATCATTACAGTGTGATAAATATTCCATATAAAAAAATCTTCTATACACATAATAAAGAATAAGCAATCAAATCTTTATATGCATATTGACATACATGTATTTTATTTCCTTCAGTATACATGTATACATTTAATAATTCTACAAATTCAGTCAGGGGGAGCCGACTTTTTCCCTAAGCGGGGGACACGAATTCTCTGAATTACAGCTTGTATATATTGGATTCCGAAACTTCATAAGAATCCTTACAAACAAAGATACATTGCAGGTTCCAGTAAATGTTCAAACAAGCCTCTTTCGTTACTCCTCACTAAGATATTGACAGTAGTGAAGGATAAACTTCAGGAGTACTGTGCAACTATATATTCAAGAAGTGGTGTGAATCAGATGTGGATACTAAAAAATTCTAAAGAAATTTTGGAGAATTTGAAATCACAAGACGTTACAAAAATCAACAGCTAAAAAACTTACGACTTTTCAACTTTATACACAACAATTCCCCACGATGAATTAAAATCCAGGCTTTTTGATATCATTGACAGCTGCTTCTTCAATAAAAATGGAAGTCGTAAATTTACTTACCTCGTCATTGGTCATTTGCAAAATTATTTTGTTAAAACAGATTCTGATTGCACACATAAGTACTCTGAAGTTGACATCAAGAAGATGCTTGAGTTTCTGATTGATAATATCAATGTGGTTTTTGGAGACCAGGTATTCCAACAATCTATTGGAATTCCCATGGGTACACATTATGCTCCGTTATTAGCAGACTTATTTTTATATTCATATGAAGCAGAATTTATGCAGAATCTAAAGCGTGAAAAGAAGAAAACACTTGCTGCGGCCTTCAACTCGACATTCAGATATATCGATGACGTATTGTCAATTAATAATGGTAATTTCCATTCCTACGTCGATACGATATATCCTGGTGAGCTTGAGATAAAAGATACCACAGAGTCCGACACTTCTGTTTCATACTTGGATATTTTATTTAAAAAAACACTAATGGTAATCTAAAAACCAAGCTATATGATAAACGTGATGACTTTAACTTTTCTATCGTCAACTTCCCTTACTTATGCAGCAATATACCTTCATCACCTGCATACGGAGCATATATATCTCAGTTGAATCGACACGCAAGAGCATGCTCTACGTATGAACAATTTCAAAAACGAGGTAAATTATTGACAAGCAAGTTGATGAAACAAGAATATCAGCAGTTTCGTTTAAAGTCATCATTTCGTAAGTTCTATGGTCGATACAATGACCTTGTCAGCAAATACAATTTATCACTGAGTCAAATGCTGACTGACTTTTTCATACCAATTGTTAGTCCATTATTTATACACTGAATTGACGACGGATTTTTCCCGTTATTTCCTGATCATGACAAGGAGCACACGACGGGTGTGACCGGTCGGCAAGGGATGCTCACTCCTCCATGGCACCTGATCCCACCTCTGATGTTTGCTCTTATTTTGTATTGTTTTATGGACTTTGAGACTGAATACTGTTCGTTATCTCCATATCCTTCCTTTAATATAATTTGGCACACAAGTTGCCCCAACAAGAGATTTAATCAAACATTATTATTATATTTATTACTATTGTAAAGTTTCAAGTCTTAATGGCTACTTTTCTCTTCCTTTATTATAAGTACAAACCAGTAGACCTACAGTCTCGACAGAGACTTCTGGTTAACTCTATTGTTGAGACACCAAACTCCATGTAAATAACATAAACGAGCTTTTTTTTCTTCCAAAATTTAGACATCTTTTCTAAACTAGAGGTACTGTGAGCAATGAACTCACTAAATGATACTCCCCGCCTCCCATATGATTAAAATGGCAAAGTCCATGTAATGCGGTGGCCGGGAAACCCAAAATATTTTTCGGATCAAAAAATAAAATAGGAGGTGTACAATGGCAATATGTAATAAAGATTCTGTGAAAATTTCATTAAATTTCACTCAGTGGTTTAAGAGGAGTTGAGGATAAGAGATGGGTACCCTAAAGCGTAACAGACGGACGGACGGACGGATTTAACGATTACTATATACCCTCCCGCTTTTCAAGCGAAGGGGAATAATTAGGTGCATCTCTGACATTAGATGTAATATTTATTTTGCCATATAAATTGATCAAATTTGAATTGGACAATGCATAGTAGGTGTTTTATTCGCATTTCCTGATTTATTCGAGATTTACTAATTTTCCCTATATAATATGATTAACTTTACAGATAAAGTTTGGGGAATTATCGTGGGTAAAACACGTTACTTTAAGAATTCAGACATTTTTGTGAGCATTTTCAATTAGTCAATGCCTGATTTTCAGAACCTGAGGATTGGAGTACCTTAAAGAGTGTCTGACTGATTATAATTATAACTTTGAAATATATGTGAATAGAAATAAAATTGTTGCTTCTTCCATCTTATATGACTTTATATTTACATTTCTAATGTCCTTGTTCTAGAAAAAATTACACACAAATAGTTAATGTACTTTATTTCTCCATCAATGTACTGGTTAATCGATAGGCGCGGTTAAAAAAAATCACTTGCGGGACAAATAGAGACAAGAAGCGGGGCTTGTAGCACGTGGATTGGCGGAATCAAGACCATGTTAATATAAGGAATAACTTTTTTCTTTTTTTCTATAACATGACGTTGATCAATCGATTTGCTTGCATGATAATTTTATGCATATACATTATGCAAATTATCACGCACGCCAATCGATTGATTACATCAAATAAATAAATAAAACATATAACCTTATCCCTATGCCATGTGAAGTTTAATATACTTAATTGTCCCCCGCTTGAAAAGTGGGGGATATTAATTTGGGTTTGTCCGTCCGTCCCTCTTTCTGTCTGTCTGTAACGTTCTCGTTTCCACACGATATCTCGAGAACCCTTTGAGCTTTTGCAATGAAATTTAGCATAGCAACTCCCTATGGACTAAAGAAGACCCCGATTGATTTTGAGGTCAAAAGGTCAAAGGTCAAGGTCATAAATAAGCAAATTCTGTCTGTTATAACACTTTCGTTTCCACACGATATCTCAAGAACCATTTGAGCTATTGCAATGAAATTTTACATAACAACTCCCTGTAGCCTAATGAAGACCCCTATTGATTTTGAGGTCAAAAGATCAAAGTTCAAGGTCGTAAATTTATACATTCTGTCTGTGTGTAACACTATCATTTCCGGACGATATTTCAAGAAGATTTTGAGCTAATGCAACGTAATTCTATATCAAAACTCCCTAGGACCTCTCTCATCCCTCTCAAAGTACCCCGCCCCGTTTGTTTTATCAGTATTAATAGTATTACATGTCGCTATTTTTAGCACAGGGGCATGAGGAGAGTTATTGCGTATAAAACAGGTTCTCGTCGGACGTTATGTTCTTATTACTTTTATTAGAACTGTTTGATTAAGGCTAAATAAAACAAACACCGTGGATTGTGTAAAATTTTGACAATACCGAACATGAATATATACATGTATGTGACTTCATGATTGCATATAATTTGCGTTTTTGTAGAGCGGCCCCGTGGTTTAGTGGTATGTCTCTCGCTTCACATGTGAGAGGTAACGGGTTCGATTTCCAGACGTTTCATTATTTTTTTTTTTCCCGATATACTTTTTTTAATTAAATAATAATATTCAGCTTGTGAAATGAAAAATTTATGAGGTGTGGCTTGTACAAACTCATACGATCATCATTACAGTGTGTTAAATATTCCATATAAAAAGAATCTTCTATACACATATTAAAGAATAAGCAATCAAATCTTTATATCCATATTGCCATATTTTATTTGCTTCAGTATACATGTATGCATTTAATAATTCTACAAATTCAGTCAGGGGGATCCGACTCCCCCCTCCCCCCGAACTCTGCATTGTTTACTTTTTCCCTAAGCGGGGGACACAAATTCTCTGAATTAGCTTGTTGATATACATGTATGTTTACATCTACATGTACTCATGTTTCCTTATACATGTATATATATATTGTGACTGATGAATTTTCAAAAAGTTATTTTGACTCTATCGGCCTGCCGTAGATTACTTTTCATTCTGCGCAGACTCTGTTGTCATACATTGTGGAGTTATTATAGTAGTACAATTCAGCATTTTAGCACCAGCCTAAGCACCATCCCCATAGGGCATGCGCGAAGTAAAGGCCCAAGTGGGTCATGCGACATGCGTGCTTCCTTCTTTCACTTTTGAAATGTACCATTCAAACGAAAGGGTATATTTTTTTGAATTTGTTATATTAATGATAATAGAGTATTTAACGTTATATTATCGTAATAGGAAAAATGAGAATACAATCACATACATAACTCCTTTACTTTCGTTTATAAGCTAATGTTAACCATGCTAACCCAATCATTGATTCCCATCCCGAATTTTTCTCAAATTTGAAAGGGGAAAATGTCTCGACTACAGTCTTTATATACCTACAATATTGAATTCGGTACCCAGCCAATAGCACGGCCCAGAATACCCCCCCCCCCCCCCCCCCAAAAAAAATGTGTAAAGTAGAAAGGCTTGGGTTTTGAGTTTTGACGAAATAATACTTTTGCTATCAAGCATTTTTAAGGGTGTGGTATTGATAATGTTAATACATGTACATCTAATTATTTCATTCTATTTAGTGCACTACTCAAGAAATGTCTGCATTGTAGGTTGTAGATTAAAGACTAAGTCAGTGTGTTGTACGTGGTGTTAGGAAAAGAATGGCCAATGCAAGTAAGTTGTTTATTTTATCCATTAAGCTGTACAATCCTAAATTTTCATCTGTACTAGCACCATACAAGCTCTACCTGGCTACGTGTGGATGTAGGCAAAAGCGTTTCGACTTCTCTTAAGAGAATATATAAAAGCTTTTATCTTGCAATTTCACTTGAAGTCACTGCTTAATTTAATGTGAGAACTTCTTATCACAAACTGTCTGGCTCTTTGTATAATGATGTCAAATCACAACAAGAATAATTCACTAATCGAGATATGATCAAGAAAATTAACATGGAATTCAGCTTAAGAAAAATAAAAGCGAGAAAGTTTCTTTTGAGAGCCATGCTTTACAATTTTCACCTAACCGTAAACATAGTTGTTTATAATGTCATATTTCAAGTAAGCAACCAAAAATATGATATTTACCTCCATAGCACTAACACAGTGTACTGCACACATAAAACGTTTATAATGATAGCACGTATGAACGTCTTTTATTACGCAAGCACCACACATATATAGCTTTTATTACACTAGAACTATACGTAAAGATTACATCCTTTATTACACAAAAAATGCATGTAAAATCACACATCCAGCATTTGATACACTAGTGAATTACATAAAAATCCTGTGTAACACTAGCACCACACTAAACAACCTCTAAAACACTAGCAACACACATATATAACCTCTATAACACTAAAATAACACATACAAAATCTATAACACTAGCACCACACATATACAGCCTTTATTACAATAGCACCACACATATACAACCTCTATAGCACTAGCACCACACATATACTTTTATTACACTAACACCACACATATATACAACTTTTATAACATTAACATAACACATTTACAACCTCTATAACACTAGCACCACACATATACAGCCTTTATTACACTAGCACCACACATATACAACCTCAATATTACTAGTTCCACACATATACAACTTTTATTACACTAGCAGCACACATATTTTACTTTTATTACACTAGCACCACACATATACAACTTCTGGAACACTAGCACCTCACATATACAACCTTTATTACACTAACACCACACATATACAACTTCTATAACACAATTGCCACATATACGTCCTTTATAAAACAATCACTACATATGCAGCATTTTTTAACACTAGCACCACACATATACAACCTCCATAGCACTAGTAGCACCCATATACAGCCTATATTACACTAGCACCACACATATACAGCCTCTATAACACTAGCACCACACATATACAGCCTCTATAGCACTAGCACCACACATATGCAGCTTCTAGAACACTAGCACCACACTTATACAGCCTCTATTACACTAGCACCACACTTATACAGCCTCTATTACACTAGCACCACACATATACAGCCTCTATAACACTAGCACCACACATATACAGCCTCTATAGCACTAGCACCACACATATGCAGCTTCTAGAACACTAGCACCACACTTATACAGCCTCTATAACACTAGCACCACACATATACAGCCTCTATAGCACTAGCACCACACATATGCAGCTTCTAGAACACTAGCACCACACTTATACAGCCTCTATTACACTAGCACCATACATATACATCCTCTATTACACTACCATCACTCATATACAGCCTTTATAACACTAGCACCACACATATACAGCTTTTATAACACTAGCACCACACATATACATCCTCTATTACACTACCATCACTCATATACAGCCTTTATTACACTAGTGCCACACATTTACAACCTCTATATTAACACTAGCACCACACTAATACAACCTCTATAACACTAGCACCACACTTATACAACCTCTATAACACTAGCACCACACTTACACAGCCTCAATAACACTAGCACCACACATATACAGCCTTTATTACACTAGTGCCACACATTTACAACCTCTATATTAACACTAGCACCACACTAATACAACCTCTATAACACTAGCACCACACATATACAGCTTCTATAACACTAGCACCACACATATACAGCCTCTATAACACTAGCACCACACATATAAAGCCTCTATAACACTAGCACCACACTTATACAGCTTCTATAACACTAGCACCACACTTATACAGCCTCTATAACACTAGCACCACACATATAAAGCCTCTATAACACTAGCACCACACATATACAGCTTCTATAACACTAGCACCACACTTATACAGCCTCTATAACACTAGCACCACACATATACAACCTCTATAGCACTAGCACCACACATCTACAGCCTCTATAACACTAGCACCACACATATACAGCCTGTATTTCACTAGCACCACACATATACAGCTTTTGTAACACTAGCACCACAAATATACAGCCTCTATAACACTAGAACCACACTTATAAAGCCTCTATTACACTAGTACCACACATTTACAACCTCTCAAACACTAGCAGCACACTTACACAGCCTCAATAACACTAGCACCACACATATACAACCTTTATAACACTAGCACCACACATATACAGCCTCAATAACACGAGCACCACACATATACAACCTTTATAACACTAGCACCACACATATACAGCCTCAATAACACTAGCACCACACATATACAACCTTTATAACACTAGCACCACACATATACAGCCTCAATAACACTAGCACCACACATATACAACCTCTATAACACTAGCAACACACTTATACAACCTCTATAACACTAGCACCACACATATATAGCCTCTATAACACTAGCACCACACATATACAACCTTTATAACACTAGCACCACACATATACAACCTTTATAACACTAGCACCACACATATACAGCCTCTATAACACTAGCACCATACATACACAACCTTTATAACAATAGCACCACACATATACAGCCTTTATAACACTAGCACCACACATATACAGCCTCTATAACACTAGCACCACACTTATACAGCCTCTATAACACTAGCACCACACATATATAGCCTCAATAACACTAGCACCACACTTATACAACCTAAATTACCCTAGCACCACACATAAACGACTTCTATTACACAAGCCCCACACATATACAGCCTCTATTACACAAGCACCACACATATACAACCTCTATAACACAATTTCATCGAACCTGTATATCAATAGCACTACATTTATACAATCTCTATAGCTCAGTTTTTATGTTACGGTATGTAATGGTTTCTATATAATTGTCAATATTTATTTGTTTGCACAGGCACAGATTATTTATATTTCTTTTATTTTAACAAGGTTTAACCAAAGTAAATGACCAGTACTGGGCTTCAGTTCAGAACAAGGTAAGTCCAGCTTATTTGTAATATACCATTACCATGATTACAGGTTTCATTTTTAATTGAAATTTGTTGTCACAGTTTATAATACATTGAATTAAAAGAAAAAGAATTAATTTATTAGCTCTAAATAGAATTACAGACAGGATGTCATCACTTGGGGCACAGTGTTTCTAAAATACTTATAAATCTAGAATTTCTTAAATTCAAAATAACCATAAGCATATTGAGTTTGTGGTCACTACAAAATACTTTTTTAGGTTAAGGATTGGATTCAGAAAACCGATGCAGCAGTATTAGTTTTATATATTCCACAGCCAACAAAGCGTAATCCTATCCCCACTTTAAAGTTTGAAGGTAGTTTTTTTTTTAAATATGTATTTATTATCAAGAGTTTACATGGCATTTTCAAATTTTCTGTTCAAGATATTGATTAAGAATCTGTCATTCTGTTATTTATTGATATATAAAAAGTGAATGTCTAAATAGTAGATTTTGTAATTTATATATTAGATATAAATGTAAATACCATGTGAAAGAAATGAGCACTTTTGATAATTGACAAAATAAACTGTGGAAGTTTATTTCATTTATTTTAATAATTACCTTGAATGGACATGTATTACATTTTACTTGAAATGCATGTACATTTGCCATGCTTATGTATAGGGTCAAGGAAGCTGAAAGGGGTGATTGAATCTGAGGAAGTGAAGAGTGCCATCAGCTTGGCATGTACTGGTCCTCCCCCTCCAGTGAAATCAATTAAAGATGGTAAATAATGCATGAACAAAAGGATATTCTTTCATGAAGAATGGGATTCATTGAGAATAGAAGAAGAGAACATTGTATTTTAAACTTTAAAATTAAAAAAAAAAAATTTGATGGGAATGAAAAAAATGCATTTATGCAAAATTTATGGATGAAAATTATATCCAACCACAAACCAGGGCAGATTTTTATTCATCAGTTTTTATCAGATCTTACATCATTTTAACAAAATTGTTACTGATTGTATTTTATTTTATTCAGAGATGGCGAACATCGTCATTCAACCATGGACAATGCAGGTGAAGAGGTGCATTATCTCGAACTTGGTTAGGCAGTATAGTAAGTAAAACAAAAAAAATTCCATAGAATTGTATTTGTGTAAGATATAAAAATGTTTTATAGTATTTTTTGACAGAAATATTTTTGTGTATCTAGAGACATATAATAATTGTATATGTGAATGTTGTATGAATTTCATATTTGTTTTATATTCTATTTCTATATCTGGTTAGTTTTTGTTTTGTTAACTTCAAAACCTTTTTTATAGTGGAATTGAAGTATGATAGGAAGAGGGATATTTGGGGGTATCCATCCCTTAAACCAGAGTGGTGGCCAGAGGAAATGGAGTACATTTCCCCAAATGAAAGACGGACTGTTGGTAATATGTTTAATTATATCAGTTTGCTTTACTGGTGTGCAATATTCATCACCTTTTTTACAACTCTTCACTATTTTTAGGTATAAAAATGTACATTATACCTGTTTTGTATATTTTTATGTTGTCCTTTGTTGTTACAGTTGTTTGCTTATCATGAGGCAAAAATTACAAATGTAAGAAACATGAATTCATGTTCAAATCTCACATATTTCACTTACATCACATTTTCCTTGATTTTAGACAAACCATTGAGTAATATTAAGATGGATCAGATTCTTGATTCATACGTAGAGTGGAAGGTATTGGAATGATGATTTTGAGAGTTGAACTGTTCTGAAAGTTTAGAATTTCTAGTTTGTAGCAACGTGATTGCACGGTAATCAGGATATAACAAATCTTTATAGTGGGTGGGTGGGATGTTATAATTAAGGGAAAAATTACTTGTTGAAAACAAACAATTTTAGTCCTAAAATAATCTAGATTTTAAAGATGCATTCTTTAGTATGTTTTTGTTATTGGCATGATTATCTTGCAATCTTTTGAAAAAAAAAATTGTAATTTATTACAAGTAGTTTAGTTTATCAGATATGTTTAAGTGAAAACAATTTATTTGAAGTTTTATAGTATTTATTAGTAACTGCAATGCATATGCAATGCATATGCATACATGTTTAATTACACATGTTTGTTTACATGTTATGATACATGTTTAGATTATTTTAACTGAAATTTCTATGTAAATGGAGTATTTTCAACATGAAATCACATCTAATACATGTGTTACAAAATGGCCAAAGAAGCCTTCTCAACCAGGACTCAACCTAGAGTCTGTGGCATATTCTCTAAGCACCAAGCTAATGACACTTTTTCCACATACAAGCCCGGTGACACATGTATTTTAAATTTTAACATCCCAAAAATAATGTTATTGTTTTAGTCAAAATGAATTTTGTGCACTTAAGTTACCTGCATTTTAATATCACATGAGCTTTTGCCTTGTCAGTACTAATGTGCATGTCCTGTTTTATAAAATTTCTTGTTCCATATTTTATAATACTATACTTTCTTTTAAATATCTTGGATATAATTCATCAAGAAACCTTTATAATAAAATCACTGTTACTTTCTGAATAATGAAACTATCCTCAAGAGGGGAAAGCCAGAAGCAGAAGTCATTATTACTTGACAGTGAATATACATGTATTAAGAATTGACTCCATTGAGTAAATGCATCCCCACTTCATCTTTCTTTGCATCATACATATATATTGAGTGGGGCAGTTTTTGTCCATTTGTCTATACTCTATATACATGCAGTTTTATGCTATTTCATCTTATATTTCCTGTATACAGTATAATGTTGATCAGACATAGGTAATATAATTTTACAGAACTCGCCTTAACAATATTTTATCATATTGATGACCCAACATCCACAGGGGTATAAGTTCCAATTGAAGAGTTCTAAGATTTCCAGGTTTCCTAATTTGCATGTAGTATATACTTAAATAATGTGATATACAGATAAAGTTTTGAAATACAGTGTAGAAATGCTTGAAGACAGAATGAATTAAGATGTTATTAAAATGGCATGCATAATGCTTCACATATAATTGCATGCAATATATGTTCTTTGGATTGAAAATGTTGATTGTGCATTGTTATTACATGCAAACACACATAAATTTTATATAAATGTCAAATAAATATGCTTAAAATTGTGATATATTAAACAATAAAACATCCAACTAAAATAAAATTTAAAAAAGAAAAAGAAAAAAAAACAAAACATCCTTATGTATGTGTATAATACATGTACACTAAAATATTTTAATTATCAATCTATTTGATACTTCCAGAATTCAAATGGTAGCAGTAGTAAGGATTTTAAAGAAGGAAGTGGAGAGGTATTGGAGGAGGTAAGTGGCAGTGAGGAAGTCATTCCAGGTGCTTCAAATGAAACACCTGGTATGAATTCTTCTCTGCCTACCTCTCCAACATTGAGTGTTGGAGAGGGTTTCTTTTCAGGTGATCCAGAAAGTATGGATGAGGAAAGAACTGAGTCTGAAATGGAGATGACACACGAGCCACCACAGTTAGATGAAAATGGAATGGAAAGAACAGGAAAAAAAGAAATGCTAATATCAGAGGAGGTAAGTGGCAGTGAGGAAGTCATTCCAGGTGCTTCAAATGAAACACCTGGTATGAATTCTTCTCTGCCTGCCTCTCCAACATTGAGTGTTGGAGAGGGTTTCTTTTCAGGTGATCCAGGGAGCAAGGAAAATAAAGTATATCAGATGGAGATGGATGAGGAAAAGACGGATGTGTCAGAGAGGACAGACCTGGAGGAAACAGACGGTGACACAAATGAAAATGGCAGCACAGAAAACATCGATATGCAAAGTCTGTTGAAAGTTGGCTGGGATGATGTTGCTTTAACTAAATGTAAGATAATGAGCTTATTGTATAGTTTTGTAATTTTACATTGTATGATTTTATAAAACCTGACAATATATCTATGAAGAAAGAATCTGAAGAATGTAACTATTGTTTGTAACAAAGTAACTGTTTCTCTCTCTCTCTCTCTCTCTCTCTAAAACCCCTGTTTTGTAAACCATTTTATCACAGTTACTTCTATTCTTTGAAAAAGAAATCTATGTACAGTTCTATGTGCAATTTGAACAATGAATTTGTAATTTTTTTTATAAACACTTTCAGATATCCACAAGATTTGGTCCCAAAAGAGAAATGATAGTGTTGAGCCATTTCTGCTGTCAAAAACATGTGGTGTGAGCATTAACAACAAGTCACTCATTAGTGTAAAAAGTTTGATAACAGATGAAGTAAGTATACTGGTATATCACCTTCTCTAACTTCGTGGTATTTTTGAATAAGGCTTCTATCACTGTGAACAGATATCAAAGTGATAATCTTTTCCACTATGAACTAAAATGATAAGTTTGACAAAACTTGAGATTTTCCTTCCCTTCAAGAAAGACCTTAGGCTTTATAAAATAACTAGCAAACCTAAATAAACCATGCTGACAGATACTTAAACTTTCAAGAATTCTCCAAATTGTTTTAAATTCCTGTCTACAATCATCAGTCTAACTATTGCTTATGTCTAAAAACTGCTCAAATATGATGTACTAGTCTGCTAGTACTACACTGATCTTTTTTATGTAATAAGCTTAAAATATTGATATTTTTTCACTCGTGGGACATGACAGCATTGCAAATTCAGTGCTTTGAAATTGTAAATGGAATTAAATTCACACTAAATTTACAAAAGAAATTTAAATATTTCATTTGTAGTTTCAATTTACATTCCTTTTTCTTATTGGTAGATCTCTCAATAATATTCAAAAACTTTAATTTTTTGTTTCATTTCATTTTAATCATTGTTGAATTTATTTTTTGTAGATAATTGATGCTTATCTTGGGATTATTTGTGGTGTAAGTAAACAATACTATTGGTTCAAAATTTGTCATTGAAAAGCCATAATGTATGTACTAATTAACTAATGTGTATTAAGAAAATATACATGACATGTTTATGGCATAGATAGATTTGCTTTTAAAATGACAATTAGTTGTAAAAAAAAAATCCAAACTCATAAAAGAGATACTCTGTGTATGAATATCTGAAAAGAGTAAAATCTGTTTAATTTGAAAATTTGGGTCAGAATCGTAATCATTATTTTTATATGAGTAAATCTTGATCTTTTACAAAAAGCATTCATTGTGTACATTTTTCTCAGATAAATGTGAACAAATTGTCCCCAGCATTTAATACACAAGTGAATATACATAATATACATTTATGTTAATTTAAAAATTAATGGTTTTCAGAAGACAAAAGTACTTATTAAGTTTTTTTTGGTTGAATTATTTCAAACTTATTTTTGTTCATATATAGTGTGTTTGAACTTTAACTCGCTAAAAATCTATAGACAATAAAGATATCCAGATTTATTCTATATACCTATGTACTTGTATGTATTCTCTTTCTTTGCATAGAAAGAGTATGTATACATCTGTTTGTCTATTTTTTATTTTTATTTCTTTAAAGCTAAGCAACAAGTTCTTTTATGTGCCGTGCAGTGTTATATCCATGATTTTTAATCCTCGGCATCAAAGCGAAGTTTCAGATGTATGTTACACTTTTTCTTTTCATTGTCTTATATGTCCAATGTTTAAATCTATTTCCTATCAAATATATAAAGAAAATGGTAAAAACTTGTATATTTTTTAATTTTAGCTTCACATATATGGATTTGTAATTGTTAGATTGTATAAAATTTCAAAATTACTGGCAAGAACTTTTTTCATCCAGGTCCTTAATGAGAACAAAGGAAAGGTGTTGCTGGCCATTGTTAATAGGAGAGAAATTCACTGGATTTTGCTGGTAAAATGATTTTATCATATTTAGAAAATATTAAAGTAGATTTGACATTTTTTCTGTTATATTAATTGATCTTCACTCATTAAATGCCAAAGGTATATCAGATAAAGGTTGTAAACAGAATTCATAATTTACTTACTAAAGGATATGCTTCATAAATTAAGACAATTTGTCCAGGGACACAAGCATCTGAATTGATTTGACTGTGTTTGTTTATGTATATACATGTATATATTTGCTTGTTTCTTTATAAGGTTATTGATCAACAGAACAAATCTCTGGCAATTATCGATCCATTGGGGGAGACCAAAACAACATGCCAGTTGATTTTTAACTTGTGGATGTAAGTAAGCATAAGACATAAAGTACTGAAATGGCAGACAAGAATAATAAAAATGTCATTCAAGCTTTAAAAATAAAGATGGCCAGTATAAAATTGTTATCACAATTCTTTTTTTTTTTGTTATTTTGTTTAGGAATTATTTGAAACAAAGAGGACATGATGCTGTTGGGTGGAAAATTGATACAATTCACCACTCGAAGCAACAGGACAGTGTTTCCTGCGGCGTTTATTGTATGAAAGTAAGAACATGTCCAAAAGGATGGATTTCAAACAGCAATTTTCATTGCAAATGTAAAGATAAACATGTTCAATTTTTGTATCGTATCTCTGATAAGAAAACTAAACCATCTATGAAATTGAAAATTTAAAGAGCTCTATTCTGGAGCAAGAAAAAAAATTTGGTATACACATTGCAGCATGTTATAGTAAATAATATATTGTGAATTCTTAATTTATTTATGGCTCAAATAAATTTGTTTTATTCTTCAGTTTGCAGAGTGAGTTGTACTAAATATATCATTACATCTCGCAAGTCAGGAGGACACTGTCCAAGAAATGAGGTGCAACATTATGAAGACCATCATAAATAATCAAGGTGCATTACATTGTTCAGTTCAGAAAAGTAATCCTAGATATTTAAAAAAATATCATACAGTGTATCACTGAATCATAAAGGTACAACCTTTTTATGGATTTGTTAGAATAGCATATGCTAGATTTTAACTTACATGTATATGTGCATACATTGCACATATTGCACAATTTGATTGGAAGACTGGGATCATTGGAGCTTGATCATTGCTGTAATCTCTCTCCCCCCCCCCAATCAAAGAGGAGTTGCAATATAGAAACACATGTATCTCTCTCTTAATAATTGAAAAGATTGAAAATTTATTTCTAATAGTAAAATTTTTTTATTGTCCTTGTCATCCACTTCATTGATAATAGTGTCATGTTGAAAGCGGAAGGAAAGTTCAAACTTAGAAAACTCATATGATAAACTTTTCTTCTAAATTGTTAATTATCACTAATAGGGAAAAAATTAATTTTGATTTGAAAGTTAAGATTTAATGGTAATTAAGATTGAAAGAAACGAATCATTTGCATAATGCAAGAGATTTATATTTGGTAGATGAGGACACTAGGAATTTCTGCAGACGTTGTTTCCGCCATGAACCTCCAAACAGCAAAGTGAAAAGAATCAAGTGGGTAAGTAAACCTTTTTATTATTTAAAACAAATAATCATTTATTTATTTGAGTGGGGAAAATATATTTTTACTGTCAACATCAAATTGCATACTTGCCAAATAAAAATCTATTTGTTCAAGAATGATTAAGTAAGACTTTCTGATGGGTTGAATGTCCAATAAATTAAGAGCTTTGAATGAACAGTATTTCATTTTCAATCAGATTATTTTAAATGATGTATGTATTGTTTAAACTTATTTTTGTAAATATTTTACTGTAATTATTAAGATATAATGCAAACATTTTGCTTTATTTGCAGGTTCAATGTGATGGATGTGCCATTTCTTGGTATCACACTGTGTGTATGAATTTGAAAAGAGTCAGAGAATCAACTTTCGTTTTGTGTGATGTTTGCAAATTGTCTGAGTAGGTGTTGAAATTGTCACTGAAAGATGAGTGCATTGAATTTGTTTAACATTAACGTATTTTGCAGTAATTAGCCACTTCACCTTTACATTCCCTATTTTTATCTTTATTTACATGTATATTCTCTTGTGTGAGTGTAAAGTCGGATGCGGTAATTGGCCGCTCCACAAGTAGATTACTTTTTTATCCTTTTATTTTGTGTTAGCTTAAAGTGAGATGCGGTAATTAGCTGCTTCACAATTATATTCCCTTTTTTTTTCTTTATTTACATGTATATTCTCTTGTGCGAGTGTTAAGTCGGATGTGGTAATTGGCCGCTCCACAAGTAGATTACTTTTTTCCTCTTTTTATTTTGTGTGAGCTTTAAGTGAGATGCGGTAATTAGCCACTTCACCTTTACATTCCCTTTTTTTATCTTTATTTACATGTATATTCTCTTGTGTGAGTATTAAGTTGTATGTTTCAAATGTACATAACTTGTTTCTCAATTTATACTTTCATGTGTGGCCTTTATATTTTATATCTTGTTTTAGTGTTTAGTAAGATGGCATTTGTATTCTACCTTTAAACTGTCAATAATTTTCTCAGAAAATTCTTATGTGAATGTAATGTTAGATAGTGTTACTTTTTGTCCTTTATATATATATAGATGCTTTGTTAAATATTGCGATATCTCTTTGAATTGATTATGTTTTTGAATTGTTAAAATATATTAATAAAAAATTATTTAGATAGTTGCAAAACATATTTGTTTTATTATTTTAAAGGAACTTTTGGTTTGTTATAACAAAGGTATGGTATGCCTTTATCAATAAGAGAAAGAAAGTTCTCAAACAGAAGTTTTCATCAGGCCTACTGGCTAATTATTCATGAAGGTACATGTACTAAAAAAAAAACAACATTATTTCAAACTTCATGAGATACCAGTGTTCAGAACCGACTTTTGACTTAAAATTTCAGTATGCCAGTATTAATGAAGTGCAGGTTTACACCTTTATTGAGTGGGCAAAAAGTTCATTGCTTTATGATACAAGTTAATACAATACTGTAGAATTTACAAAAGCTTACTTGTTATCCTTGTAACATCAAACTTATTTATCAGTAGCTTGCTTTAGCTTATAACTAATAGTACTTAGAGCATACTCTTGTGCCTTGAAATATTTTGTAGGTATAAACAGCATATGCAGGTGATGTTTTAATAAGAGAAGTTGATGATGGAAAAATTCAGCCTATTTATCGTACAGTTAAGTTAATTATTTATGTCTACAGTCAGTAAAACATCCACGAGAGTATTAAAAGTCTTGCATTAATTTTTACTGGCGCATATCAAGTAAACGCTTTGGGGTACCCATCTTTTATCCGCAACTCCTCTCATATTTGATAAGAATTTCACAGAATCTTTATCATATATTATTGTGATTTATTGTCACTGAGCACCTCCAATTTTACTTTTTGATCGAACATATATTTCGTGTTTCCCATTGCAAAACATGGATACTGTCATTCTTTCTATAATACTGAAAGGTACCGATCTCTTATCTGCAACACCCCCAATATTAAGAATACATTAAAATGATACTTTCACAGATTCTTTTTACGTAATGCCACTATTATACTTATTGATTTGCCGCTTATTTCGGGTCTTTCATAGAAAAACATGGACTTTGCCATTATCACATGGGAGGTAGGGGGATCCCAGTGCTCACAGTAGCTGCAGATCTGTAGCGTTATGGTTTTATATATATTTGTATGGTTGAAGACAGATATGTATAACCATAAAGCTACAGATCTGCAAGTATGCTCACAATACCTCTAGTTTATTTGGAGCTATATATGTATAAAACTCTTATAACTTGCCTATGGAATTTTATTTTGTTAGTTGATTTAATATGCAAAAACATGTCCTACGAACGAACATTTCCTTAAGCGACGGTGAAACAACTGCTGTTAGGTGGTTAATCTGGCGTTAGGACATTATTAACACACTGTCTGGACTATTCTCTTTCATTTGACCTATCATGACAAGAAGCACAAAGTGTTACCGGTCTACAGGGGATGTTTACTCCTCCACGACATCTGACATCGCGCCTCTAATATTTCAAGAGGCCCATGTTTGATATGGTGCTAGTTGATATGTTTGATATGCGTTCGATACGTATTGTTTTCTAGTCCTTTTTTAAAGAACTTATTTTTACATTCACACAAATTACATAAAATACAAAACACCCAGACGTATATGTAAATTAAAATACAAGACAGTTTGAAATAAAGCAAAATCCAAAAAAGAAGTAATAGATAGAGTTTACGAATAGATACGAATGCGATGCAGCTGTGTGGCGACGCACTTTGAAAAAATTACGCACTTTGGAAAAAAAATTTCAATTGGGACAAAATCAACGCGCTTTGAAAAAAAATTTTAAAAGTGCATTAAATTTGGGACCAACTCAACGCACTTTAAATTTTTTTTTTCAAAGTACATTAAGAGTCTACATCGATATAATTTACCATGGAGACACTTAACGCACTTTGAAAAAAATCATGTTTTAGTCATGGAAAGATTTTATTTGTTATTTATCTTTCAAAAAACTAAGCCTAACTCTAACCTCAGAAATGAACTGATTTACTCCCGTCAAAAAGAGGAGAAGACGGGTATAAGATCCCTCAGCCCAAATCTTTATCTTTCTAATACATAGGTGTCGGTAACAAACGGGGAAGGGAAGCAATAAACCTAAAAAGGGTACGCTACATTTTCAATGCTTATACGATGTATATAACTTTAATAAATAAGTTGGGGGCTTAGCCCCCCATCCCCTCCCCTGGCCCTTCGCCCAGTCTCGATGTCTATGCTATACTCAAAGCATTCATATAATTATGTATTTACCTAACTGGTATGACGTTGAAAACTTTCAATAATAAATGAGTTCATTAAAATAGATGAAAACTAGAAGTTTTTAAGTACAGTAAAATTTTTGAGAAAGAAAGAATTTTCATAGTTTTGAACAATCAAATTGGCCCCTTTTTATTATATATAATGATAAATGTTGCTTGAAGCTTTCTTCTATTAATGCCCCCTATGCACATTTACATCTACTTATCAAAAACTAAAAAAAAAAAAAAATAAAAAGAAACGAATTAATGAACTTAAACAATCGTCACCCTTTTTTTCAAGACCCTTTAATTTCCCTTTAATTTTATCAAAACCTTAAATATTTGAAACGTCAGGATCTACACCAGCTTTATCATAAAAAAGTTATCAAACCAGGATCTGTTATTTATTATACCGATTATTTGAAGGAATATTGATCAATCTTTACATTTTATGCAAAGTGTGTTAATATGGTCAATATTAACGCACTTTGAAAAAAAAATTATTTTTTTCAAAGTGCGTTAGTTTGGTCCGAAAGTTTCATGCACTTTGAAAAATTTTTTCCCAAAGAGCGTAATTTTTCAAAGTGCGTAGTCACACAGCTGACGTAACTTTTCATGAATGATTGTATACAATTAATGATAAAGCTTAAGGTTGTATGTGTTTATTGCTAGTGTAATAGATGCTGTATATGTGTGGTGCTAGTGCTATAGAGGTTGTATATGTGTGGTGCTAGTTTTATAAAGGTTGTATATGTTTGGTGCTAGTGTTATAAAGGTTGTATATGTGTGGTGCTAGTGCTATAGAGGCTGTATAAGTGTGGTGCTGGTGTAATACAGGCTGTATATGTGTGGTGCTAGTGCTATATAGTGTATATGTGTGGTGCTAGTGCTATAGAGGCTGTATAAGTGTGGTGCTAGTGCTATAGAGGCTGTATATGTGTGGTGTTAGTAAAATAAAGGCTGTATATGTGTGGTGCTAGTGTAATACAGGCTGTATATGTGTGGTGCTAGTGCTATAGAGGCTGTATATGTGTGGTGCTAGTGCTACAGAGGCTGTATATGTGTGGTGTTAGTAAAATAAAGGCTGTAGATGTGTGGTGCTAGTGCTATAGAGGCTGTATATGTATGGTGCTAGTGCTGTAGAGGCTGTAAATGTGTGGTGCTAGTGCTATAGAGGTTGTATATGTGTGGTGCTAGTGTAATAAAGGCTATGTATGTGTGGTGCTAGAGTTACAAAAGCTGTATATGTGTGGTGCCAGAGTTATAGAGACTGTATATGTGTTGTGCTAGTGCTATAGAGGCTGTATATGTATGGTGCTAGTGTAATAGAGGTTGTATATGTGTGGTGCTAGTGCTATAAAGGTTGTATATGTGTGGTGCTAGTGTTATAGAGGCTGTATATGTGTGGTGCTAGTGTTATAGAGGCTGTATAAGTGTGGTGCTAGTGCTATAGAGGTTGTATATGTGTGGTGCTAGTGTAATAAAGGCTATATATGTGTGGTGCTAGAGTTATAAAAGCTGTATATGTGTGGTGCTAGTGTTATAGAGCCTGTATATGTGTGGTGCTAGTGCTCTAGAGGCTGTATATGTGTGGTGCTAGTATTATAGAGGCTGTATATGTGTGGTGCTAGTGTTATAGAAGCTGTATAAGTGTGGGGCTTGTGTAATAGAAGTCGTATATATGTGGTGCTAGTGTAATTTAGGTTGTATATGTGTGGCACTAGTGTTAATGAAGTCTTATATGTGTGGTGCTAGTGTAATAGAGGCTGTATATGTGTGGTGCTAGTGTTATAGAGGTTGTATAAGTGTGGTGCTAGTGTTACAAAGGTTGTATATGTGTGGTGCTAGTAAAATAAAGGCTGTATATGTGTGGTGCTAGTGTAATAGAGGCTGTATAAGTGTGGTGCTAGTGTTATAGAAGCTGTATATGTGTGGTGCTAGTGTTATAGAGGTTGTATAAGTGTGGTGCTAGTGTTACAAAGGTTGTTTATGCGTGGTGATAGTAAAATAAAGGCTGTATATGTGTGGTGCTAGTGTAATAGAGGCTGTATAAGTGTGGTGCTAGTGTTATAGAAGCTGTATAAGTGTGGTGCTAGTGTTATAGAAGCTGTATATGTGTGGTGCTAGTGTTATAGAGGTTGTATATGTGTGGTGCTAGTGCTATAGAGGCTGTATATGTATGGTGCTAGTGTAATAGAGGCTGTATATGTGTGGTGCTAGTGTTATAGAGGCTGTATAAGTGTGGTGCTAGTGCTATAGAGGCTGTATATGTGTGGTGCTAGTGTTATAGAGGCTGTATATGTGTGGTGCTAGTGTTTTAGAGGTTGTATATATGAAGTGCTAGTGTTATAGAGGCTGTATAAGTGTGGTGCTAGTGTTACAAAGGTTGTATATGTGTGGTGCTAGTAAAATAAAGGTTGTATATGTATGGTGCTAGTGTTATTGAGGCTGTATATGTGTGGTGCTAGTGCTATAGAGGTTGTATATGTGTGGTGCTAGTTTTATAAAGGTTGTATATGTGTGGTGCTAGTGTTATAAAGGTTGCATATGTGTGGTGCTAGTGCTATAGAGGCTGTATATGTATGGTGCTAGTGTAATAGAGGCTGTATATGTGTGGTGCTAGTGTTATAGAGGCTGTATAAGTGTGGTGCTAGTGCTATAGAGGCTGTATATGTGTGGTGCTAGTGTAATAGAGGCTGTATATGTGTGGAGCTAGTGTTATAGAAGCTGTATAAGTGTGGTGCTAGTGTTATAGAGGCTTTATATGTGTGGTGCTAGTGTTATAGAGGCTGTATATGTGTGGTGCTAGTGTTTTAGAGGTTGTATGTATGTGGTGCTAGTGTAATAGAGGCTGTATATGTGTGGTGCTAGTGTTATAGAGGCTGTATATGTGTGGTGCTAGTGTTATAGAGGTTGTATATGTGTGGTGCTAGTGTAATAAAGGCTGTATAAGTGTGGTGCTAGTGTTATAGAGGCTGTGTATGTGTGGTGCTAGTGTAATAGAGGCTGTATCAAGTGTGGTGCTAGTGAAATAAAGGCTATAAATGTTTAGTGCTAGTGTAATAGAAGTTGTATATGTGTGGTGCTAGTGTTATCAAGGTTGTATATGTGTGGTGCTAGTGTTATCAAGGTTGTATATGTGTGGTGCTAGTGTTGAAATATATTTTGGTTTTAGGATACTAAGCATTAAATATATCTAGGCTACATCATAAGACATCCTTTTGGTGCTAGTGGTGTACACATTATATAAACTTTGTGCTTGTTTTCCTGCATTCTTTATATATGTAAATTTTAAAAAATTGTTTTGAAATATGCACACAAGATTGGGAAAATTGGAGTTTATTGAGGCTTTTAACTGTTTTTCTGTTAAACATATTATGTCATGTTTTCCATACAACTTTATCAAAAGTTTTTCAATTTATTTACATCTCCTGTTGGCATATAGTCAAGATAGCAAATCATATGGCAGAAAAGAACAAAACAAAAAATAAATTATTTTGACAGAGGGGCAACAGCATGCAAGATGTTTTTGCACAATTCTTCATGGTCTACAAAGGCAAAAGTGGCTCATATAAATTTCATGTGAATTCTTCATATGAAAAAGACAAAAAAACAAGACAGAAAATTTATGTGAAAACTTCATGAATTTGTCATGAATTTCATATGAATTTTACATGAATATCACATAAATATCATGCAAAGAAAACTTCAAATAAGAGTTCAAAATAATATACATATTTGTTAATAAATAACTGCTGCATAACCTGGCATTTACCCCAGCACATTTAACTATATTTCTTGTTGATTTGTTCATTGTTGTACCACAGGAATAATTTCAATGTATCCATGAAATTCTCTGGTTTCATGTAAGACAGGGAGCTCTTTAATTTTCTGATTTTCGCGTTGTTCTGCTCTACAATTTGAGTATTAATCCCTTTCAATCTTGGATAGCTGCGAGCTTCATACCCCGCTGCACATTCTGAAAAAAAAAATTATCTGCCAAACTTTTTTTCAATAGGGTTTCATTTTGCTTATTTTGAAATTACATTGTCCACAGCATTCAAAATATCATCTAACTTCTTACCACAAGTAGTTTTTGAAAACATATAATTTCATTTCACGATATTTGAAAGACATTTTTTTCTGAACCAAATATTCATAAATATTTTACTTTTTCATAATCTTTTTATTATTCATTTTATTTGCCAAGCTTAATAACAGTGGAATAAAAATGCACATACTTTTGTGATTTGGCCAATGCAAACTGTCAATGAGGAATCTTGTATCTTTGAAATATGCAGGATCCCGATTCAGTGCATATTGAAATAGGTTGCATGCATTGTCATAAATGACAATTTCGGGGGGTTCTGAAATCAAATACATCTACTATCTAATAAATGAAAATTCAAACTCATTCATACTTTTGAAATGTTAACATTTAAATTTGACTCATTTTGCTTCATTCAACATACTGTGAATTAAATCATCACTGTCTTTGGCATACAATTGTTCAAGAATCAATAAAGTTTTGATTTCCCACAAACACATGCACCTCCACAAATTAAAATGATATTCCAGTCAAGGTCATTTCCATCACTTTTCCGAATGCCACTTACAATTTATTCTTTTCATATTCTAAATTAATATAACTTCAATTAACTTATTTGCAATGCATTTATCTATAGACTAGCTTTCAAATTAAAATGATAATCGAAAAAAAACTTGCGTTCAAATCTTGTCTTCAAGAAGGTAAAGGGGACGTTTGGAGACTCAGCTGTCACCATTACTTCAAAACCATAGCATACACCTGTTTTAACAAAATATTTACATTAAATAATCTTTCAGTCTTCAATGTAAGGACATTTGTTCATACCAAAGTGAGCAATAAGTGTGCATGTTATATGCCTTATGCATATATACAGCCAAACTCTGTTTTCTGAACCTAGATATCTCAACTCAAAGGATATGTTATACATGTTGTTACATGTAAGTAGCAACCTCTTATTCTTCACATATAGTCAACTCAACATTTGAATCCTTTTATTTCTTATCAAGTTCAAGACAACAGAGCTTGACTAAATTGTATTTAATTTAGTGTTTTGAATCAGCTAAATCCAAACTCATATTTGTAGGTCATACCATGAGGACAAAATACTGTAAAAATCCCAGGTAGCAATGAGGGATGTCGTGCTCCCGTTTTCCTACATGATCCAAGTGGTTTTCTGGTGTCAGCTTCATATCTACCCCTCTTGCGGACAGCAAGAAGAGAAGGATAGCAAGCTAGTGGCAAAGATTCTTGATCTGAAACCTGTGATGACTGCACATTTCCAGTAAACGTAGCCTCAACACGCTTTTGAATAATGTCCAAAATTGGAATTAATGACTCTGTCAGGTATCCAACATTGGTAAAAAGCTCAAACAAGATAGGAATGTTTTGCTGCAGCTGGTTTAACAAAGATGATGGTAATTCAGAATTTGGTCTTAGTTTAAGAATTTTAGCAATTAAATGAAGGTTGGAATAATGGAATGTAGCACACAGTGGTGAGTCACAGGAGAGAAGAAGAAGAAAATCTTTGAATTCTGGATTGCAGTTGAATCTTTCACCTGTGAAATTACATTAAAAAATTAAGAAATGTATACCAGTATTTAAATTTAAATTACATAATAATTCATTCACATCATACCCCCTTCATTGTCTTATTAACAGTAGAACTCAGTTATAACGAAGTCACCGAGATAATAAAATTAATTTGCTATATTTTTGAATTCGTTATACAATGTATCCATATAAGAAGGCTATAACAAATTAAGGATAAGGAATTCGTATATAAGGAATATATATGTGATTTCGCTATATCTGTGTTCATACTAAACAAGGTTTGCTGTATGAATACATAGATAATAATTTAATAATAAAAACATATCATGTACAGGCTTACAAGAAAATTTTCTGAGTTTGGAATAAAGTTTGACGAAGATATGATATTCAAAACTTTTTTTCAAATTTGAAAATCAGAAAACATGTGATAGGTAAGGTAATCAAATTTTCCTTGAATCATGTTATACCAAGAGAAAATATTTTCAAATGTAAAGTTATTTCTACAAATAATAATAATAATATTAGGCTTCACCTTCCCTATCATGTATCTCTGCATCAGGAAGAAGAGGGAGGAGACAAGGTGACACATCAGTAATCTTCTGCCTCAGAACTACCAGTTCTTCTCTTGATATGTCATCACTTTTGACAAAGGATCTTAGGTAAGACCTTGTTGTCTTGTCTGGGATTAGCATTCGGTCATTGTATCTAGTATAAGAAAAAAGAAACAAATTGTTGTTAAACAAAACATCAATTATTTAAATTTCATTCTTTTGTAAATCACAAAAAAAGTTTTACAAATAGGAAAAAGCTTATTTAACTAGCTTTACTTCATTGTGATACTTATCTTAATATTTTGAAAATTGGCTCATCACTGTTCAATTCAGATTCAAAAACAACTGGCAAAGATGCTCTTTGAAAGGCCAAAGATGTTCCATCAAAGAGCAAAATATTTGGCTGTTTCCCACACGATGGAGCCTTGCACACAAATGCTAATAAAGAAAACAAATATTACATGTAATTATGTATTTGTACTATAATGAATTCATTAAAAAAATCAATCATATAGTGATGATAAAAAAATCTATTTTGTATAACTTAAGCCCAATAACCTTTCTTTTCATCAAATAATAATCATATTTATAAAGTATATATATATTCATATTATATATTTAGTAAAATACATGTAGTAGTCATTCAATTGATAACAATTTTTAAAACTTGGTCAACATTATTCAATACCTGCATATCAATGATGAAAATAAAACAGGAAATATTCTAATATTCAGAAAAGAAAATTCTATAAAAGTTCTTTCGTTCATACATTATTTATATGAAAATCATCACCTCTGCTATATTCAATGTCTAGTAATCTCATGAAACAATACCAACTCCATCGAAAATGGGAATACAAAAATGAAGTAGTAAAATTTTGATTTCCCACATCTTCTTGATGACATGACATTGTTTTATAAAATGCTGAGAGTGTCGATCTGCAAAATAAGTTATACAAAAATTAATAAAAAAAAAGTATCATGTAAATTATACAGCATATAGCTTATATCTTACTAATTTCAAAACAAATACAGCTTAAAATATGTATATATATTAAACAAACAACACAAATAAACAAAAACACAGTCATGCATATAGAGACATTCACATAGATATAAATGTATATGTGTTGCGAGGAGCATAATTTCAATTACCCATTTTTACTCTCTTCCAAAATTGCACAAATTTTTCAATTATACCTTGAATGAAAAAACTGGAACATATAGTCTCTGAGCACTTCATAATGAACAAGAAATCTTCCCATGTTCAGCAGGCAATTACCCTGGCCATCATATGGCATAAGATTTCCACAAGTTGAACAACATTGATGAAAACCTGTGTGACAAAGAAAAATTATTAATTTAAGTAACAGTAATCATGTATTTACACTGATATAAATTTCATCATTAGACACTGTCTAATAAACATGTATATCCTAATATTTACATTTGCAAATGTTTTCCTTTATATAACACTACTGAAAACAATGCGTTTCTATAACTGTATAAAGACAAGTACGGGTCAAGAGGTCATAGATGTGTGTGTGGATAAATGTTCCACGTAATTTCTCTGTGATGTCATAAAGGGTCAACACGTGTTCAGTGGATTACATACATGGCGTTTGGTTTGAAAAATAGCGCATTTCATACGTTAAAAGTCACAAAGCAAAAGTGCAAATATAAAGTATGAATAATTCACAAATGTAAATATAAGTATTAAGGTATCATTTTAAAACATCTATCGGGCTATAAATACAGGTTGCTGTACAAGATTAAATTCATCATAAAGCCCTTCGGGCTATATGGAATTTAATCTCCTGACCAACCCGTATTTATATCCCAATAGATGTTTAAAAGTGATACCTTATTTCTTAAATAAATCATTGGACATAAACTAAAAAAACTTACATTGAGCTTCCCTGAATCCATATCTTGAGACAATCCATGATATCTCTTTCATGGGAACTAAATTCCCTTGATCGGATGAGGCACTACAATGTTGACAACAGGAGATTTCTGTCGGAATGACTTGAAGTACCCCATCTTCTTCAATAAAGATATCTGCAATGTTCTTACAAAAATTCTCTTTTTGTGCTGTTGTTAACGTAAAAGAAATTGCAGAGCTGGAAAGGGTTTTTAATGAATATATATTAGATGCCTCTGGTGTTTTTGACAATTCTGAAAATAGTTCGAACATATCAGAATTGTCAAAAAAGTCTGCATCCTGGAATATTTTTTCTAATTCCTGTAAGTGCTTGCATTTGTTCTGACAAGAGAGGCATCTAAGTTTTCCATAGGAAAACCCAATGATGGCATATGGAGGATGAAGGTTGTCTGTCCTGATGGCATATGTTTTCTCCATTCCCCAGTTCAACTTCTGACAAAGTGTCTGACAAAAGATAACAATTTCAGTTTATCTTCAAAGAATAGATCTTTGAGAAATAGTGATTACTATCAAAAACTAAATTACCGGGGGTATTTAATTTAAGAGATAATTACACTGCAAAATTATGTGTGTATACAATACATGTGTAAAAATTAACTACAATCTGCAATCCTAAATATTTGATGTAGAGACACATAATTAAATCTATAAAATGGATTAAAAATTTGAGTCTAATGATTGTAATTATAATGTTCAATTCAATTCAATTCTTTATTGGCACTAAAGCACATATTTATATACAGGAATGTGTTGTAATACTAATTTGCTTAAAACATACTTTTTCTTGCGTACAGGAATTTTCTTCACTGTAACGATGATCCTCTACAATCAGACACATTAAGATAACACATAGTGATAAATATATATAAAGTAATGTTAGAAATCGATTGCATAAATTATTCTTAGTAAATATATAATATTAAAACAGTCTTCATTGTTTTGATTGACCATTATTATTATTGTTTAAAATTGATCGAGTCAGCAATATTTCGGCCATACCTCTCTAGGTGAAAGAGATACCTCTTCAAAGTTCAGAGATATCTGTGTTTACAAAAGAGATATTTCTCAAGGAGAAAGAGATATAGACTGTTTAAGTGGAAGAAATATCTCTCTTAGAAAAAGAAATATCTCACTAGTAAGGGAAAGAGATATCTTTTTAAGTATAAGAGATATCTCTTTCTCAGAGATATATCTCTTTTTTAAGTTGAGAGATATCTATATTTTTAAAGAAATATCTCTCTAAAATACCCGGTAAGAAATATCTCTATAATTTTAAGATGAATTTTACTTTTCAAATAAAAAAAAATGACTTGCCATGGAAGGTAACTTATGTTAAAAATGTACTGTAAACTGTACAGTATAGATAAATTAAATTAATTTAAATTAATTTACTCAACATATAAACCATAATCATATTAATTCCAGGTACTTTTCCAAATTTCCACAAGCAATCTTCTTCAATATTAAGAGTTTCCTTATGCCTTTCAAATATGTAATTATGAATGAACCAACCTGAACTAGTCATCTCCTCAGAATTTTCTTCAATGCCGTAAAGATCTTTGAATTTTCTGCAAAACTCTTTGGCTGCCTCAACATGTATACATCCTGAATACAGTTCGTCTACATCTAAATAGATATACATAATAATAGGCCTAATAATATGATAATGTACATTGAAAATGGCTTCAAGGGCATTATGCATTAAAGTTAATTGGACCCAAAAACCAAACTGTTTGTTTGCCTTTGGCCATAATAAACCAAAGGCAAAGAGTTTGGATCGAGAGGTTGACAAACCAATTTTACTTAAGAAGACAGTACAGAAATGCTTTGTTATACCTTTTATTTTTTAATCAAGTTCTGGCCTTCATGATGTAAATTTCTTTTATTAGAACTGCAGTAAAACTTAGTTTATTCTGTCACTTTTCAACATGGAATAAATAATTTGACTTTAGAAACAAGCGAGTTGGAATCATACCTTCAGAGGTGCAAGATGAAACTTTGTTCATGAAAGTATGCCTGTCTATATCACAAGAGCAGGCATATCCCAAGTGTGGCATTTTTTGGACAATTATTGTTCTGAATTTCTAAAATTTGAATTTAAACAATTTTTAACTTGAAAAAAAAAACATTTATATTTTGTATTCAATCTGCATGCAGCAATCAAAATAGAGAACAAAGTGTCTTTATTTTATGTAAAGATTAAATGATTCATATATCATGGAAACATTAGGAAATACAAAACTAGATTTAAAAATCTGTTTAAAAAATGTGAATTAAAAAAAGTCAAAACTGGAATCTTTACACTTAGTGATTTTTCATTGGAATCCCAGTCCATTAGGGCACACACTTCCAATTCTGTGTCCAAAAAAACACACCCCCTGCTTTGAAAGATTGCAAATAAATATAATTTGCAATCTTCTGTTATTTCCCCATCAAATTTTAAGGGGACAGCACCACTGAGGGGCTCTTCACGATTTTCATCAGTATTTAAGATTTGTTGTTCAACATTTTGCTGGTTATTTGCCGCAGGGATGTAAGTTGAAGTTCCACCAATTGTGCCCTAATAATGTGGATAAAAACACTTTTAAATAAAAGAACTCTTATCTAATTTTTCCATTCTTTTAATTCACAACTTAATATTGCAAATGAATGCACAGTGTATTTATAAAGTAAGAGAATTATCTCATGAAAGGAAAACCTAACAGCTTTTCTGACTTTGTTTTTGGTTGAACCACTTGAAGACTTCGAGTGGCGTCTCTTTACTGGCAGTTTTGAGAAGTCCAACCCACATTCTCCCTGCACCATAAACCCTTTCCTCCACTTGTCTACTGTAGGTTGAACCCTCTGTTGTAAAGAAAAAAATTGAATAAAAAATTACATATAACTAAACATAACTTTGTTAAATTACACACTATACCTTCAAGATTTGAAAAATAAAATCCAATCATACCTTCTTCTTAACATCATCAGAATCCATTTGAGATTGTAATCTTCTGTGAACAGTATGTAATCCTTTTTTGTCTATTGATCTATTAATAATATAATTTGTATAAAAATGTTAAATTTATTATATAAGATATAAATGCATTTAGATACTAGAGAAGAATTTATAAATAACTCAAGAGAGAGTTTTTATTTCCTTTAAGATAAATTCAACAAAAAAGTAGGGGTGCTTGTTTTAATATGACATATAAAGGGTACTGAAGTTTTAAGATCATTGTACTACATGTTAAGCATGGAGCCTTTTTCAGAGGTGACGGCTAAAATCAAGTTGGTACAATTGTGGACAAAAACAAGACATGTATGTGTAACACTGATGTCCAGGACAGCTTTTGGAGAGGGTTGAAGTTTCTCAAATTCAAAGGTCAAAGGATGAAAAAGTTCAAGTTTTTTGGGTGTGGGCCAAACTCAAAGCAAAGGGTCAAATTAAAGAAATACCCTTTTACCAAAAAAATGTACCAATAAAAGGCCTTATCATAAAAAATGTATGTAAAATATTCTGTATATATACATGTATATACATGTATATGATATGAGCTATGCAGGAAAAAAAGTGCTTAAAGAATTATGCTTATAGTGCTAGAGAATATTTAGAGGGAAATTCCAGTCAGTACGTATTCAAATACTAACACTGAAGCAAACCTGCATGGTTATTTATAATATTTCATTTAAAATATACCGAATGCTAAATGTTTTACCTTAATTAGTTACAAATCAAATTTTTCTGCTTGTGGTATGCATGCAACTTCCTGGTGAAACCAACTTAGCATAAGTGAACAAACTGCATGGAGATACATGGGGTACAGGGTCAACCCCTTCCTTTTTCATAAAATATAATTAATAAAGCTTAATCATATATATGGCATGCCAAATTCACAAAAATGAGCAAAACATAGTTTCAGAGTCGATAAACTAGGTTTATCGGTTGTAAACTTTAGTTTACAGACTTAAACTATAGTTACCAAAGTTAATCTATATTTTACATCTGAAAACTATAGTTAACGTGATAATCTAAACTATACTTAACACCGAAAACAATCATTTGCGATTGCAAAACATAGATTATCTGATAAATACAGTTTCACGATTGTAAACTATGGTTTACAACTCTTAACTATAGTTAACAATCGTAAATTATAGTTTACAGACGTGAATCTATGTTTATCAACAAAATCTATTGTTAACCTTTTATTACAAACAGATAAACTTAGATTAGCATTCGTAAACTATAGTTAACAACTGTTAAATATAGTTTACAGATAAAAACTATACTTAACGAATTGTAAACTATAGTTCATTTTGTAAACTATAGTTAACAGTCGATAAACCTAGTTTATCAATTGTGAAACTATGTTAAGCATGCCAAATTCACAAATATGAGCTAATGATAATCATATTATAGTTTATGGCATGCCAAATTCACAAAAATGAGCAAATCATAGTTTCACAATCGATAAACTAGGTTTATCGGTTGTAAACTACAGTTAACGGACTGTAAACTACAGTTAACAAGGTTAATCTATATTTTACATCTGTAAACTATAGTTAACGCGATAATCTATGTTTCACAACCGTAAACTATACTTAACACCGAAAACTATCATTTGCGATTGCAAAACATAGATTATCTGATAAATACAGTTTCACAATTTGTAAACTATAATTTACAAATCGTAAACTATAGTTAACAATCTGATAAATAACAACTCTTAACTCTAGTTTACGAATGTAAACTATAGTTTACAAACGTGAATCTAATGTTTATCAACAAAATCTATTGTTAACGCTATATTCAGACAGATAAACTTAAATTAGCATTCGTAAACTATAGTTAATGACCGTTTAATATAGTTTAACAAATGAAAACTATACTTAACGAATCGTTAACTATATCTAACGAATCATTAACTATAGTTTACAGTTTGTAAACTATAGTTTACAGTCGATAAACCTAGTTTATCAATTGTGAAACTAGGTTTATCTCATTTTTGTGAATTTAGCGTGCCAAAGTTGGGTACCGTCGATAAACTAGGTTTATCGGTTGTAAACTATAGTTTACGGACTGTTAATTATAGTTAACTACGTTATTCTATATTTTACGTTTGTAAACCATAGTTAACACGATAATCTATGTTTCACAATGGTTACCGTAAACTATACTTAACACCAAAAACAATCATTTGCGATCGCAAAACAAAGATTATCTGATAAATACAGTTTCAAGATATGTTAACTATGGTTTACAATTCTTAACTATAGTTTACAATCGTAAATTATAGTTTACAGATGTAAACCTATGTTCATCAACAAAATCTATTGTTAATGTTTTATAACAGACAGATATGGCACGCCAAATTCACAAAAATGAGCAAATCATAGTTCACATAATCGATAAACTAGGTTTATCGGTTGTAAACTATAGTTTACGGACTGTAAACTATAGTTAACAATGTTAATCTATATTTTACATCCGTAAACCATAGTTAATGCGATAATCTATGTTTCACAACCGTAAACTATACAAAACTCTAAAAACAATCATTTGCGATTGCAAAACATAGATTATCTGATTAATACAGTTTCACGAAACCGATAACTATAGTTAACGATCTGATAAATATAGTTTCACGATTTGTGAAACTATTATTTACAACTCTTAACAATAGTTTCCAATTGTAAACTATAGTTTACAAACGTGAATCTATGTTTATCAACAAAATCTATTGTTCACGCTTATTACAGACAAACTTAGATCATCATTCGTAAACTATAGTTAACAACCGTTAAATATAGTTTTACAGATGAAAACTATACTTAACAAATTTACTATACTTAACAAATCGTTAACTATAGTTTACGGTTTGTAAACTATAGTTTACAGTCGGTAAACTATAGTTTACAGTCGATAAAGCTAGTTTATCAAATGTGAAACTAGGTTTAGATCATTTTTGTGAATTTGGAGTGCCATACATATATGTTAGTATAGTGAATTTTCAACATGGGTCGGTAGAAAACGGTAAACTGATATTTCATTTTTGGTCTGATTTTATATGAGACGCTGGAAAAAAGTGCTTGAAGTATTATATATTTCGATTTGATCATGCTAGAGAATTGATATTTTATAAGGAAATTCCAGGGCATTCAAATCCCATGCTGAAGAAAAAATTGTTTAAAATGAATTAAATTACATTTACACTTAATCTATATCTTACCTTATAGTTACTAATCAGTTTTTTTCTGCTTGTGGTATGCACACTTCCCAGTGAAACCAAATTCATGATGGGTATATGGATGGCATCAATGTGTAACCTGGGATACACGGGTCATCAATCCCTTCCTTTTTCATAAAATATAAAGCTTAATTATACATATCAGAGGTGAATTTGCAACATAAATATGGCAATTGGTCTGTAGAAAACTGTAAACAATATTCATTTTGGGTTTGATTATGATATATATGAGAGGATGGAAATAATTTTAAGGTGCTTCAAGAATTACTGTAAACCAACTTTTATTTGTGGCCATGTGCATTAAATATTCGGGAATTTAACAAATATTAATCTCCGCAAATGGTCAGAGATTAGAAGAGCTTAATTATGTGATAGTAAGGTGTCCATCGGCTGTCCGTCTGTCTAGCTGTCCATCTGTCTGTAAACAATTTTTCAAAATGCTACTCCTCCTACAGTTTTTGGTTAACAGTGTTGCCATGGTTACTAAAATTAGGTCTAATTTTATTATATTTCAATTCAAACATTTTTAAAAAATGATCAATATCTTACCTATGTTACAGCATTTGTCTGCTCGTGGTTTGCCCGGTGAAACCCAAATCAATAACATGGCAGAAGCCGAGATACACGGGTGCTTCTATCCGTCCTTTTTCATAAAATATAAAGCTCAATTACATATATCAGTGGTGAATTCGTGATATAAAGATACAGGTATGTAAACACTCCCCTCGACACAGTGAAAATGAAAGTAGAAGGTAACAGAACTTTGGCGCATGCGCAATGGAGATGGTGCTTAGGCTGGTGCTAAAATGCACAGCTATACTACTATAATACCTCACATTGTGGAGACATCAAAGGTAAAGTGAAATATGTAAAGCGTACTTAAATATAATGTTTGTTTGCCTTCTCCATACCCAAAATAGAAAAATTGTGTCGTAGGTGGGGAAATGTTTTCCTTTTTCATTGAAATTTTCAACATTCAATGCTGTTTTTTAAATATGTTTTCATATTAATGGATCTAATAAAATTTAATTGTTAAGTTAAAAAAAAATTGTGTTGGGCTATTTTTAGCCAGTCGTTCGGCAGAGGGAGAACAAACAATTGTCTAAAGTATGTTTTCTTTTTTCTTACGTGGATTTAATATTTATGACTAAGTATTTTTTAAAAGCTGAAAAGTGTGTAGATATATTAACTTTTCCTAAGTAAGTGAACCCTAAAATTAGAACTATTTCTGTTCATACTTTCGATTTGAACTACTGAAAATATGATGATAGTGGTCTTATTGATAGGACACGTATAATATACTGACTGCAGGAAAGTAATCTACAAATAACCAGTTCATGTAACAATTTCTCTCATGAATTGTTTGTGTTAACAGGTAAAAAAAAAAAGATATCCCCGCTATATAAATACTCAAGAATGACGTTTACCAAATACGATTAAGTTATCATAACCCATACACAGATTTAATATTAATATAAATCACAATATTTTATTGCAATGTAATTTGATCCATAATAAAGTTAAATTTATGGTGTATACTTCTAGGCATTTGATTAACTTTTTCAAATAATTAATGTATTTTTTTTTAAAAATCGGCTTTACAATTATTAATGATTCATGCGTGGTATGTAAAAATAAAGTAGTGAATAATCTAACATATGTAGGGGAGATCGGTCCAATTCTGGACACTTTTGTCCTGTTTTAACATGTAACGACCAGCAAACAAAAATAAACACTCAACACACTCTGATTTCAAGTGGTAAAGTATGGAATCACTTTTTGGCAACAAAATGCAGTGAATATCATAAAGAAACACAGTGAAATATCTTTTGTTGATAACAGAATGAATCCAAGTGGTGATGTAGTGTTAGTCCGGACATCATTGGGTCCAGACAGAGACGGGGTAAATCCAGACAATAGAGCAATATGTACTTCGAACAAATTTTTATGTGAGGAAATGCATTTAAACAGCATGTCACTTTGATAGACCAAGCATGCTTCAGTTTTACATTACTTAGCATGCATATTGCACATTTTCACAAGAGAGAGAGAGAGAGAGAGAGAGAGAGAGAGAGAGAGAGAGAGAGAGAGAGAGAGAGAGAGAGATGCGGTTTAGGGACTTGCATAGAAATGATATTATAGACCCCTCCCCTTCCCAATTTGATTTTTATAAAGAAAGTCGTTTAATCGTTAGAAAGAATATTTTATTAAATAAAAACAATAATTCAGACACTGGACTTATTTTTCTTGGGTCTTTTATATGGGCCGATGTGTCAATAATTTTGTGGGCCTACCTGTCCAGGTTGAGTCAACCGTCACGGGCCGAAGTGTCATTGGGCCGAGATGTCTGTCTACCCATAAAACCGGGCGTCCAGAATTCCCCCACCTAAAAAAAAATCAGTGGGGGAAATCAAAACACATTGTTTGATAAAATTTAATGAAAAAATTTACATTATTTTGTATTATTCATAATATTTTTTTCTTTTTAAACATATGCTCTTTACATGAAAAAAAAAATTAAAATAATAAATGGAAATAAATATTTATCTTTGATGTTGTTTTAATTCTTTGTCAAATTGCCCTTATTTTGTTCAAATTTTGCCGCCTTATGGATTCCAGGGAACTAAAAGTCCAAAGTCTAACTTTTGACATAATCATAGCATTCAGAATACCTTAGAATCATTATAATGTTCTGAAAAAAGATAACAATAACAATCTGCTCTCCGAATGTAGTTCATTTATTTATAATCAACCATACAGAATTACTGAAAAATAAAAAGAGAAAGACTGTATTATTTGTCCGGAAACCCCGTGTCCAGAATTAGACGGATCTCCCCTACCCTGTAATAGCAACAATTCCCTGTTTTCAAGTTTGGATTGAATTATTGTAACGTAGGCAAATTTCATGACGCGCTACTTGCAAATCCATGTGATTTACATATCAATAATTCACAAACTTAGAAACATGCCTTATATTCCTTATATTTACATTTTACATGTTTTAAAGCATCAAAAATATGCTCGATGTTTGAATTTCTTGCTGCCTTATATAGTTGCATTTTTACTAACGTCGTTGTAGCCTCATTTTGACGTCACGTTAGCATACGTTTCTCCGTGTATATTTCTACGCGTCAATGTACACGAAAATTGTATTCAAACCAATTACACAGTTCGCTTAGTAGAAAAACACAGCGAATATAAATATTTAGGTATATTTACAAAAAAATGTCAATATAAGGACCATAAATTAATTCTCTATGTGGACTTATATACTGGAAACTGAAATTAATCTCTGTAAGTAATGTCCGGGTTTAAAGGTTATCATACACTGTATTCAGTACCTGCTCTAGCGTCAGTAGTCAGTCATTAAACTTCATAAAATAAGGAAGTTTACGATATTTATTTTGACGTTTCATCATTTTATATTATTACAATGTATTCATTTTCATTTATCATTTGATTAAATGTATTTCATTAAACTCGAAATAGAATCATTACAACTAAACTCATGTTTATATATTGGGTAAAATTAATAAGTTTGACTGCATGACTTAAAATTTTTCATTCAAATTTCACAACAATTGGATCAAAAGTGACAAAAAACTTGTAAAGATTAGGAAGGATAATTGCAGAGAGGCAGAGGTTTGAGCATTGAAGAAAATTTCTTAGCATTTGAAAATTTATCATTTGCATCATTTATAGTCTAAAAAGGTCCAAAATGTACCCAATCAGAGCATGTTTGTTTGTCATTGTTCTCAAGTTAGTTCTTTAATGGTGTCCACCAAACAAATATTGATCGATATGTCATTACTTTCACAATGAATTGTAACGAATTTTCCGTTTACCTAATCTTGACAAGAACTCAGGTAGGACCGAACGGTAGGGGATGTTCATTCCTCAACGGCTTCTGATTCCGCCTCTGTTTTAAGGCCCAGAGGTTTTTTTTTTTTGCTCGTGAACTTCCCTTACTTATGCAGCTATATACCTTCATCACTTGCATACGGAGTTTATATATCTCAGTTGATTCGATACGCAAGAGCATGCGCTAAGTATGAACAATTTCTAAAACGAGGTAAATTATTGATAAGCAAGTTGATGAAACAAGAATATCAGCAGTCTCGTTTAAAGTAATCATTTCGTAAGTTCTATGGTCGATACAATAACCTTGTCAGCAAATACAATTTATCATTGAGTGAAATGCTGACTGACATTTTTTATAGTAATTGTAATTCTATTATTTATACACTGAATTGATCACGGATTTTTCCGTTATTTCCTAATCATGACAAGGAGCACATGGCGGGTGTGACCGGTCGGCAGAGGATGCTCACTCCTCCATAGCACCTGATCCCACCTATGATGTTTTGTAGGTCCGTGTTTGTTCTGCTCCTATTTTGTATTGTTTAATGGACTTTGAGATCGAATACTGTTCGTTATCTCCATATCCTTTCTTGCTCTGATTACAACTTGTTATTGTTTCATTGAAATTTTAGCATAATTTTTTTTCCCATCATTTTCACATAATACTTCATTAAAAGTTTTTTTCTTTATGCGAGCTGGGTATTTTATACTGATAAGTTTTGATAAATTTTAACTAATGTTAATTGAAAAAGGATTTTTTTTATTTGCTTCAATGATTTTTGTCAACATAATTTTTGTAGCTTTGTCAGAAATAAAAGAACAGACCTTGTTTCGAGGCCAGTGGGTGCCAAAACCATTGACCATGGCTGAAAAAGGTATTATTCAAAGCATTTTATTTTTCCAACATATTTTTAATGGGAATTTCCTCTCTTTTGCAACGTCGTGGTACTCTATGTCAGCTGAAAATAAAAGTTCTGTCAAAATTGTTGACTTACCTTTGAGAAAGCCAAAGCAATCTTTAAGATAATGTTTGCTTGCCCTGTTCCGACTCAGAGTAAAAATAAATGGTCGGTAGGTAGGTGGTTAAACATTTTTTCCAATTAAATTTCATATACATGTCGACAGGATAAACAAATCAGTTATAAAAAGAAAAAAAGTTTTTCTTTAGAAAATGAAAATAAAATTCAACCTCCAATCATCTCATGTGATGATTTATAATGTTGAGAATGTCAATTATTACAGTAATTTATTACATTGATTTGAACATATTTATTGTTTACAGTATATACTTTACAATTGGGATTGGGCAAAAGTTCTAAAAACTTAATACGCCCTTTCCCTACATATGAATCATTCCAAACGTACATGTTTTTACATACAAGGGTTTCATCTTAAAATGAATTTATACAAAAAAGCATAGTATAAAATCAGAGCAATACTCATTCAATAATATACATTCCTTATGTAATACAAATGCTCTGTAAAATTTGCAAGAAGTAATTATTGTATCAACCAAATCGTCCTGACTTTTTAAGAAAAGTTTGTACAGTAGAAAATAGGCAATCATTTTCAACATCTTTTAACGTTTCATCTCCCCATAGTAAAGCGTGAGTATCGACAGTATGTAAGAACTACGAACGATAGTATTGTTCTCCCGCCTACCTCTAAGTCAATTCTCAAAAGTTAACATATTCGAATGATTTTCAAAAATTTTATAGATATTTATATGAATTTTCACAAAACGTTACTTATTTGGGATACCAAAGAGAGATAACTCTATAATTTTGGTAAAACTTGTGTTTTTCACTATAGAAATCAACGGAAAACGGAAAATATTTTTAAAACATCTCCCCCCCCCCCCCGTGAAACAAAAATTCCTTTTTACAGGTAATATGGACTGTCATTTTACAAATTTATGCCAAAGCTTTTTGTGTTTCACGGGGGGGGGGGGGGGGGGGGGGGGGGGG